CGGGGAACCCTCAGAGCGCCCGCTTTCGTCACCCTCTTGTAACAAGAGGCAAGGGATTATTTCAAGCAGGCATGCTCTCACTGCGGCAAGTAATGCCATACCCAGAGGGCAGGTACCTGCCCAGTGACACCTTTGGGCCTTGGACCAGGTCCAGTTACCTCAGTAGCTCCTTACTGTGACGCTGGCTAACCTTCAACTGAATCCGTAGCACTCGCCCCCCGGCCCCTCTCCGCTTTGTTCTGGAAAGACAATCTCTGTTTGAATGGGCTTTGCAAGTGAGCACTCGAGATAGACTCACTTCTGGAGCACTTGACACAGAAAGCAGTGGACACTAATGTTCTTGGAAAGACCTGAATACCTCACAGAAAAAAACAGATTTTTATGTAAAAATTTTGATTTTATTTTATATTTTCTCCAGAGTTCCTAGTGAAACTTTCCCATTACTGAAAGGAAAACGACACAAATCAGGCAAGCTTATACATCAGTAGTGAAACATGCCCTTCACAGTGTGGCTGCGACCCGTCCTTGCGAACTTGACTGCGGTCCTAGCGTTTCATCTTTGCAACGACAGAGAAAATTGCATTGTTTAAAGAGCACTGTGAGAAAGAAGAAAACATTAAGAGGACAAGATGACCACAGATACAAAATAAATTAAAAGTATCCGTAAAAGTTTCTTTTCCATATACAAAATAACTTTCTTTTTTTGGGGTAACTTTAATTTTTTTAAATCGACATCATCTGTACAAACATTAACCTTTCAACAGAAATAATTTAAAAAGGCTGTTTTTACAAGGAGAAATGGGTCGCTAAACAAAACGGTCTCCTGCAAACTGCCGAGCTTCTCCTCAGAAATGAGCATGCAAAGTTTTGGGCCAGCCCTGCAGTGGAGCACAGCGATTCGCAACCCCAGGGCTGCCTGGTGCCTCATCAAAGGTGCTCTGCTCCTCGCAAGTTCAGGGTCCCCAGACAAAGCAAACGAGAGCGCCTGCCCCGTGACCTCGCTCAGGGCAACAGCGTCATTGGTTCTAGCGGGCAATTCTCCGGGGTCAAGGTCCTGCATCGCAGGACAGGCAAGTTTTATTTTGCGCTCTATTGTGCAAGCTTACCATGAGATTCCCTATTCAGCCTCCAAGAGCGGGGTTTTCAAGAGCTTTCCGCAGCGGCCTCCTCACAGTCTGCTCCTCGCTGGGGACTTTGCTCCCAGAAGAGTCTATCCGAAGAGAGAGCTTGCATAGCTCAAGGCATTCATCCTGCCCATCTTTTGAGCCAGCCATAAAAATAATGCGTGGCCATCAGAAGGTACATAATTAGATGGGAAGCAGAGCCATTTATCCATTAATACTATTTCAAAAAACGGAACAGGTGGGAAAAGCCCTCCCCCCTGCTGACTCGAGATTAAAATGGTGATTAATAACATGAGCCGCAAATTACTTTGAGGTCCCTACTAATACAGTTATATACAGAAATCATTGCCTGTGTGATTAATACATTACTGGTGCTAGACATGGTTTTACGTAGCAAGTTTCATTTACAGATACAAATGCAAAGCAAGTTGTGGGCATAAAATGTCTCGCTTGTATATGGTTAACTGAAGGAGAATGTTCTTAGCATAGAGTTGGAAGAGGCAGATCACATTTTACTTGGAAGATTGTACTTATTCTACACGATACAGTTCACGACAAAGTCTGGCTGTATCCCAGCAAAAACCAAGTGTAACCAAGTTCAAGCTCCTTTTTGGGTGGTGCTTTTAAGGTCACTTCCAGGCTGTCTCACCACAGCACTGGGGAGTGTCGCCTATAGCCTTGAACTTGGCTTTGGTCCCGAAGAGCAACTCAGAGCACTGCTGCCCCAGACTGCTGTGCTGGGGAAACACCTGTATGTACTTCACACCTCTGTTCTGGAGTGCAAAAGTGGCAAAGCTTGGCTGCCAACACCCTGTTCCGATCTGGGTAACTCCGCTGCCATCCAAGGAGTGGGCCAGGGCACTTGCGACCTCTGCATTTTCTTCTGAGGAGCCCCGTTCCCGACACGGCTTGTGCCAGACACCGTCATACACTGAGCTGGGCTCGGCTCAGTCCCAACCCTCCACCCAAGAGCCAGCCGGTCCACCTCATCCCCCCCCCAGCACGCAGGAGGCTGGGGCTCAGCGACTCCTCACCTTTCGGGGTCCCCATTCTCCCAGCATTTTCCCAGGGGACCGACCGCCCTTCTCTGAGACAGCAGTCTCACTTGCAGCGGGGTGACCCCCCAGCCCTCCTGTGGGGAGTTAGAAAGCTGCAAGGTACCTTCTCCTCTGAGCTGTGTTTGGGAAGGTTTAGTAAGTCTGCTGCTATTCTAAGGAAGGAACATGCCGTAATCCTAGCACAGGGCAACGTGGGGAGAAATCCAGCCATTGAGGGCTACTGAGCAGCTCCCACCTTCCTACTGAGGACGAGAGGCATACACCTCAAAAGCCTCAAAAATACCACGAAGGAAACAATTGTGGTGATGGGAGCGTTACTCATCGCCAGCCAGCTCACCTCAAACAAAGAAATGGCACTATCGGCACAAAGCTGAGGCTGCCGCGTCAAGCTCTATGAAATCTATTTTGCCACAAACCCTCTACAAGTTGACAGTTAGATTTAGTTAGGTTTATTATTTGACCTTGTGTGGTTTTTAACAGTAGCCACCATTATCACGCTGAATTGTGTAAATGATGGACCTATCTGTGCAGCTCTTAGAAAAGACAACTATTAGAAACCACTGCATCTGTTGTTGCTTGCAGGGCCCGACGTCTACTGACAATCTGAGCCTGCTTCCAGCTTAGCCAGTGGCAGCCCCCAAGGTGTCCTAATAACACCGGGCCCAGGAGCGGATGAGCAGGGGATTAAAAGGCGAGCTCTGTGGTACAGGCAGCCTGTGAACATGGCTACTTCTGCCTGTCCTTCAAGTCAAGATAGGAGCCCACACAGCTCCTCACCAGAGCGACGAGCTCTTTTTTGTGACAGAGATACAGCCACAAAAAGCTCTTGGTCATTTGAAACTGTCTTTTCAGCCAGGAGAAAAGCACAGCTTTTTTCCTTCTGTTTTTATGTCCGTCCGCTTAGCACACAGAATGTCTGACTTTCCTCCTGCATATGGAAGTGAATCATATGAACTTTGAGCTAAATGTGCACAGCTTCACACTTTGCTTCCTTTTGCTGGTGGTTCCGCTCCTGTATGCTGAAAATGGCACTCGTTCTCTAGAAATGGAGACTTTTCCAGTTCCAGGGAACAGATCCTTCGAGGCAATATGCTGCTACAGAGCCCTCAGAATCCTAACATGCAGCAACCAGGCCGGATAGCTGTGCTAATTTACGTTGCTTAACTGGAGCAAATAAACTTGGATCCGGTGACACTCTTTGGGAATCTGATTGCAGTGGTATTCAAGCAGGGTAAGGGAAGGGCTGCAAGCATAACTTGCTAATCAGTGCTTCTTTTTTCCTTTTCTCCCTCCACTTCCCCCCCCCCGAGTTAAACTCCTGTCAGCTTCCACTGAGATTTTGTGCATGTAAAAAGTCATTGCTGAAAGGCTCCCTAGGCTACCCATTCCACCTCCACACCTCTCACACCCTCGCACAGGCACATTACTCAGGTTGGTGAACGCAACAGCACCAGCGACCAAACACAAAATTCAATGACCAAACATTTAAACTAGCCTCAAAAAGCTACAAAGCTGCAAAAAGGCACATACATAGGAAAACTGCTGTCACCTGCAATACGTTGTGGAGTTAGACTCCAAAGTAGAGAATTTAACTCTCACAATGATGAGGAATTAATGTATTTCCTAGGAATATCTGCCTTTTAAATACACTGTTGCAGAGAGTTGGTTACGTAGGTAACTTATGGAAAAGGTTGCCTGACATATACTCGTAGCGCAAACTAGAACATCGCTCTCACCAGCCAAAAGCATCATCCTCTATAGATGGCACAGCTAGAAAAGGAACCAAAGTTCTGTCTAAAGTACTTCCGTGAACATTTACTCTGTAACAGAACAAACTTTTTGCAGCTGTACCTTAGATTCATTTGATGTTCTCCTTCCTGCTTGCAGTTTCTCAAATGAATTTTTAAAAGAAATATTAAATTGGCAGCACAGGTACAAGACATTCGATTTTCAGAGTAAAGTGAACCGAGATAAGGAAAAAAAAGAAACCTGCTATCTGATTAATGTAATAACCAAAACTCACCAACCAGAGGCAGCTTTGATCAAATCGTATTGAAGGCCTACAGATAAGAATTACGCACCAAATAATTTCACGTCATGAATCAACTACCATGATTTACTCATAGATTACTTGCAACGACGTTCTATAACGTGCGTCATGAACAAGTCACTTGGCCGTTTCACCGAGCACAATACTTTCACATACCCTTGGCCTGCTGAGTTTCCATAGCGGCACGAAAGAAAAGTCTTCGCTTTTGAGATACCGCAATTATGCACGCAGCAGTAACATGGTTTGCGTTCTTCTGACAGAGGGCACCGACATCTAATAAGCTGAATTACAAAGAATATGTCAGCGAAAATGAGTACACACACGCAGTTGGTGACACGTCATACAAGGAGATACACGCCTAAGTTGGATTATTGAAGTCTCTTAGGATGTTGGATTTGTTTTCCTTCCCTGCTGCGCTACTCAATAACCTAAGGCAGAAAGCTTAGCTTTAAAATGGAGAACACCATATTTCTAATTTCCCTCCCTGTCAGTCGCCATAAGAAAGGAGACAAAAATTAACGGATACTGCTGCTTCCAGAATCTTGCACAAAAATAGATCGGTAAAAACTCGAAGAGGCTTCTGCAAATTTCTCCTTCATCTCTCGATTTCAAAAGAAACAGTCAGTCCCCATCGCCAAGACTGGCGTCTCAGTCAAATTCAGAGATGAACAAAGTTCCTATTCTCTTTCCTTGGAATTGCTATTAGGAATCCATTCCATTTCTACCCTTTTTCTTTAGATTTGTTTATGCTTTTTTCTTTTTTGTCCAAAGGAAATGCATTGGCAGTGCAAACAAAAAGTAGGTATCATGAAACACCGCACCCCCCCGCAAACAGCAAGCGATCATCTCAGCATTTCAAAAGGGTCTCCTGAGACGTTATCTGCATGCGCAGGATTCCACTGTCATGTTGGGGTACACCTTAAGAACCACGTTTTTATTTTCATCAAAGAATAAGATACTAAGAGAAGACATTTTGTCAGGAACGCAGCAAGGCTCGGGAACACCCGGGACGACTCCGACGGCTCTCACTATGCTCTGGATGGTGGCATGGTTGGACGGTTTCAAGGCCTGCAAGAGAAAGATACAGCAGAAAATGTAACTGCACCCATGTTAGACCAAACCCACGTATACTCCAGAACAGAACCGATTTCTTGAAGAAGGGCCCTGTGGAGACCCCACAGCTGACCAGCTGGAAAATCTGAACGCTACTTGACCATTTCCAGTCATTGCCGTAGCTGCCCCGAACCAGCAGCAAGGAACCTGAACCCACTCCAGTTCTTTGGGTGACTGGACGTGAGTGTTGCTGCGCCGCTTTCAGCTCGAGTGTCCCGCTGGGGCCAGGACCTCCGGCTCTCTGGGACATGCCTTCCCAAGAAAACGCCCAGGCAGCAGACCTTGCGGCAAGGTGTACCTATAAGTCAAGGTTGTCTCTTCTGAGCCAATTAAGTTACACGTGTGGAATAACTGCTAGAGGCGACTTGGGAATTAAACTTATATTAAAAGGTACAGCATTGTTCACATGTTAAGGTACACACAAGTGGAGTGCGGCAGGTACGTGAGGAATCCATTCCACAGAAGTTCCCCAGGCACCCTCGGGTGTTGGCAACGTCAGGGGAGCTCAATGTACCGACTCTAAGACAGACTTGGCAAGCAGGGTGGAGAGGAGCGAAGACACCGTGGCCAGGCTCTGCGGTGCCACCGCCCGGATGGCAGTGAGTGCAATGGTACTACTGATAAGCTGCGTATTTGCTACCCTGGGCCAACGCTCTGTCATTTTTTGACAAAATACTGCCCTTTGGGTGAACCTTGCTCATTATAGTATCATTATAATACCAAAACACACCTCCATCCCAAAAGCCACCCTCCTTCAAGGTGTGACCACCCCTCATGGAGCCTGCGCTCTGAATTTCTCTAGTCTATACCTTTAAAAGCAAAGCAAGAGATTTTCACATCAATCATAATAAAGATATGTGTGACGAGAGTCTCTCAAGCTCTACCTGAAAAGTAAAAAAATAGTATAAAAATAGCTTAAGAGAGAAGGATGTGAGGGAAGATACCGTCGATGACAAGTCACGGATCATCACAGACTTCTGGGATCAGTCAACAGGGTGAGCCTCTCTTGCCCCCACAGGGATGCGTTTGGGTAAGATTTGAACACTGGGCTACACCGAGTGCTCCCCGAGAAACCCAGAGATCTCTACAGAGTTGCTTTTATAACTTAGTGTGTTTTATAGCCAGGCCGCATTATTCTTATCTGAAATTTGCGTGTGCTTTGCAGACAGTGAATTTATCACTGGCAATCTGCGCATCTGTCGCCTTAATAAAATTACCTGTATTTGCAAACCGCTTCAGCGAAAGTCCCTGTGAGGGCTCTGACAGGCAAACATCACAACCTTACTCTTGACTCATAGAGCCAAACTGGTATCACTGAGAATCTAAGCCCAGCTGCCCCCAGTCCCTCCAGTATCTGAGGACAAGCCAGAAAGCAAAGGCGTTTATCTTCTGCCAAATTCATCTACCTTTAATGCGATGATGCAAGCTGCAATATAGTCATAAAACTCGTTCGGCCGGGAGGGAGGCAGTCGATGTGCAAGCAGGCCGAGTCATTAGGGGAGCAAAAGAGTCGCAACTCACAGGCTGGGAAGTCTGACCAGTGGAACACGAGTGCATCAGGGAAAACAGAAGTGGACAAAACACGTACAGACAAGAGAATGGAATTTCTTTATGCCACAATGCTAATTGTTACAGTTCGCTCTCGTGCAAGGTTAGGTTGTTTTGCTCCTTCTTCATGCCAATCACTTCTCATCTGTAGTACACGTCATCAGTGACCCCGCTGAGTAACTGAGCTCCCAAATCCCATGTCAGTTGTACCTCATTAAGGTGGTACTTTTCTCCAAAAGACAAAGTTTCCTGGATTTATACTGATGTAAATAGAAACACACTTTGATTTGATACGAATAAAAAGCTACTCTGACCAGTGAGATAACTGTATTCGGTCACAAACCCAGAATACATTAATACACTCATAAAAATAAAAATACGTAATGTATTCATTCATTATATACATATATAAAATAAAAACACATTCACAGAAATGAAAAACACTAAGTTTAACCTCTGAACCTCCAAACTCTTCCAAATCCAAGTACCCCTACAACAGACAGGCAAGCATGAAAAATGCACAAGATGCAGTTTTTAGCCAAACACTTTTGGTTTTGTAAAAGCGAAACTTTAACAATGCTTTTTAGAGCTGCTCTTACACATAGAACCTGGGAATCAGAGAGTTCAATACGCTCCGTCAGATGCCACTGGGAAATATATGGAACAAGACCATCCCAGCCAAACGTGCAATCGGCTGTTGTGCTGCAACGAGAGAGGATTCGCTTTTGGAAAAACTGGTCTTAGGGGTTACCATATCTACCTAGCTGAGTGCAAGTCTTAATGACCTCGCACGCAAAAAGCATAGGAGTAACTGCGATATTCTTTCTTGTCATATTGTTTGTGTAGCACATTAGTACGTTCAGGAGCAACCACTTCCAATTCTGGTGACATACAGGGATGTCTAACCCGTCCCTACTCATGGCAACATCGCTTATGACTCAGGCCAGCCTTATTTTTGTTCTTTCTTATGGAGACAGCTGTTCCTTGAATTCCAACAGAAACAGATCAGAAAGGATTTTTTGCACATCACATTGTTGCAACTAGTCTCAAGAGAGAACCGAAACCATTTGACACCGAATTGAAAAGGATTCCCGGGGGAGCATTCAGCTGTTCTTTATGTACATGTTAGACACAATTTGAACTGTTTTTCTTCTGCTCACGAGGAACCTATTTCGCCTGCAGGAAGGCTGAACAACAAACGGGGCCAATTCTGCACACCCCTCACTTCCATTTACCCCCCAGGAGACTTGGAATTTTCTCAAGTATACTCAGGATCCAAGTTCCTTTTAAAGGCTGACATTATACAGAGCCTGATCTTTTTCCCCTGTTGCTGTTCAAGTTTCCTATCCTAGCCTATCAGATGAATGAGATGCAGGGGTGTGGTGATATTTTATTTAAAATATGAACACAAAACTCATTGCACCATCCTCTTAATGGCTACAGGTTTTGCAGCACGGTTACAAAGACATTACGCTCCATCTAGGCAGCTGATCTCAGGAAAGACATTTCTGTTTGTTTGTTTGTTTTGAATACAAGAGTACTTATACTCCTCAGCAGTAGTCGACAGGGATTTCAAAAATGTCTTAGATTAGCATACAATTCAGATTTCTGTATCATTTCTGCCCATCAAAGGAAGCAAAAGCTCTGGTAGCATCCAGGCTCGTTTCCTAACTCGGCTGCGGCGTGGCATTCTCTGCAAAAATAACTGGGAGCCAAACGGATCTCCCGACCTTGCCAATGAGACGTGAAAAAGTTAAAACAGCCATTGAGACCCTATTTCCCGCTGCCAGTAGTACCGGAATTAAAGACAGGTCTCTGAATATGCCTCTGAATATGTGCTAAGGTCTCATCAGAAACCCTTCCCTTCAGATATGGAATCTGTACCGCTAAAATGCTAAATCGTACAGAACCTATTTCAAGCATTGCCTTGGTTATCAGTGGGAATAGCCCAGGAACGTTCTGTCATTGCACAATAAAAGAAGCCTCTCCATTTGATACAGGTATTGTATGATACCGAACATCCTCTGTACCAACTTCAAGTCTGTCTCGAATACTCTGCTCCCGGCCCTTAAGGTGACCTCTTGAGGATAACCAGCTTCGGCATAACTCTGCTTCTGCCAGCGAGAGTTTAACTGTGACCAGAGTAAAATCCGAAGGCATGGCCTTCTCAGAAAACCCAAATCCCACTGTACTGAACCAGCACAACGCCCTGCACGAGTGGGGTGAGTTAGGCCACTGACCACGGGCCGCCTATGCTCTGTCCAGCACACAGTCACGAAAAGCAAACAGGGATTTTCTTTTAGCAGGGGAGGCCGAGAGGAGCAGTGGGAGGAAAAAAAGCCGAGGTGACTCCAAGCTGCCAAATCCGTGAATGAGGCCAGCTGCAGCTCGGGCTGCACCTGCTAAGCCACACGCATCCTCAGGAGACTTGCTGCCCTGTTGAATTTCATTAGAGATGTATTACGAGCAGGGCAAATGATGTCAGCTACGAGCTTTCACTCCTGACCCGGGAGCGGGTCCACCTGGCCTGCACGCTCCGCAGCATTACGCAAGCCCAACACACGTGGGTTTGACAGCAGTCAAATCAGCCCGTTGGAATTGGGGAAAGCGTAAGGCCAGAAAATTTGGAGGTGGAAAGGGGTGGGGGGGGGGGGGTGGGGGGAAGAGGCACATCTGTTCTTAATTACCCAACAGGTTGTCAACTCTAGGAGCTCGCCCTCAGCAAGGCAATGTTATATACGCATAGGCACAGATTGTTTTGTTATTGCCTGATGGTTATAGCATCATTTCGCAAACACAGTCTTATTAGTAGCACCAGATACCATGTGTGGCTCAAGAAGAGGCTCTAGAGGATGCTCACTTCACCTTTTTACAACACTTAGCTCTTCATTCTCTGTGGAAAACAAGGTAATTTTGGTTTTTTGCGATTAAAAAAGCACGCAAGAGGAACAATTTGAATTCCAACACAGACAGAAATCTACCAATTGCTTTCAGGGAATGAGACTCCCCATGGGTTTCAGTAACCTGCTCTCGTAACCAACTAGCTCTCTCTGTAGTACATGGCAGCAAATATTCAGCTTCACGGTGTCTAAATAACTATAACGCTCTACTGCTATAATTCTTCACCCAAACGAGTCTAGAGAGTTTCACACAGAAAGGACAGATTTAGGCCTTTTAGCAGAAATTTGTACAAGAAAAACGGTGTCCTGGTTATGGCCTTGTGGCCCTGCGCTACAGGCTTCGTTCGTGGCAATCAGACCTTCCGCTTCACATCTGAAAAGCAATTTAAACACTGTGCTTCATTTACCTACCTATCTCTCTGGTTTATTTCTCACGGTTTTCCTACTACAAGCTTTTTCCAGGGCAGGGACCACGTCTGATATTGTGTAGGCGTTTATCCCAGGCAGCACAGAGGGGTGAAGAGGAGGAGGAAGAACGCTCCATTGGGACCACTACACTTAAGTTACCACAATAACAGCAGCCAATACTGCAAGTCTACTTCTTTGAGAAGATGGAGCTAAACTATGACACCTCAGAGGCCAACGCTACTATCTGCAGGAAAGCAGAACCTGAATATGGCAGAAAATAAATTTGGCTCTATACGTCAGAAAACGTTTTGATGTGTAGTACCGCACAGGAATTACCCAAAGACAGACAACTCGCAGGCAAAGCTGAAACTCCTCTTTCACCCAAGCAACACCTGAACCTTTTTATTAAAGAGCTGCTTCTTCATTACTCTACTTTTGGTTTCCGAGAGTTTCTTTATCTCCGTGAAGATACGTTAGGCTTTTTGCTGCTGGAGAATCAGTGTTTCAAAGTCTCACCTCAACTCTTGCTTTCTATCTTACATCTGTCAGTTCCCATCAGCTCTTGGCAGCATTAGATTTTGGTTGGAGGAAGGATAGACCTGTCATTTTCAAAGTCCTCAAGCCACCGAAATGCCAGATAAATTTCCAAACTAACTGCTAAGGCTTCACCGTGGCAGGAATAAAGACCCTTGAATGAGAGGTGACGGCAAGACCAAAAGCCCTACCTTTACTGCAGGCATTATTTGCACGTACCCCTCACTTTAGGCTAGCCTCAAGTAACGCATCCTACTTTCAAGTCTCAGCAGACTCCAGGGGGGTCCAGGCTGCTAATAATGACATCGAGCATTTGATTTTAAGGAGCCAACTTCATGCCCTCAAGTCACCAGGCTAATAGCACATCACCCTTTCTTGCTACTCGCATGAAACAACCTCATAAAAACCAGAGGATATGTCAAAAGTCAGTTGGGCAGGATCCATTGCTTTTGGATCCATTTGGTCTGTCATAGAAGCGATTCATTTGATTCTTTGGTTTATGCTTAGAGCTTCCCAGATGCTCCTACAGCTCCATAGAGTCTCTCTGTCATCATGACAGTTGTGCCTCATGAGGCACGCGTTATTCCTACATAGTGCTACGCTGACTGACCCCAGCATGGGTTGGGCAGCAGAGACTCCTTCAAGACATAACGACTACTCTCTAATAAGCAATTTTCTGGATCTGGCTTGTATTATGTTTATTAAACAGGTTAATAACAAGTTCACACATCATAAGCACCATTCAGGAAATGTTTTATAGCAATTTGGGTTCTGGACAAAAAACTAATACCATGTAATATTTTTTTAATTACTTTACAAGCCTGTCGTTTTACTAGCAGTTCTAACCATTACTCCTTACAGCACAAGACAAAGATATCACTTATTTGCTAGATCTGAACACGTAACAGGTGACCAGCTGCCTTTTATGGAGGCAGGAAAGAAAATGCATAGTTTATGGTAACAGACAGCACAAAAGAATCAATAAAGACCATACCTTCGGAATCGGGAACTGGCATTCCCCCGAGCAGTAATAGGCGTCAAAGGATTTCGGGGAAATAATCCACTCGCTCCAGCCAATGTCTGCAAAATCCACCTTGAGGTAGCGCCGGGCACAGTACCTCGGCTCATTCCACTGCTTCCTCCTCGCCTTCTTCAGTGTTTGCTCATCAAACTGGAGAGTCTGGCTCTTCTGGTGATGATTCTTCCTCTGCTTTTTCTTACTCTTCACCCTCTCTGCTAATCGTGGCTGGAAGGTTTTGTAGGGTTTTCCGTCTTCCCATCTTGCATCCTCATCGTACTGGTACTCAGCTCCCGGGAGCTCGTTATTCCGCAATGGCAACAGGACTCTTGCAGAGCGTTTTTGCCGCCGCTTCCCAAGGCTGCTCCTCACATGGCTTTCTGGCCTGGGAAAGACCCTTGCCAGAGGATGACGGCGCCCTTGCAAACTAGAGACAACGCTCTCTGGCTCTGAAATAGCAGAATCATTGGCATAGATCAGAATGTAGGGTTCATAGTGAGAAGGCACCCTCTTCCAGGGTTGATGGCTGGTGAGATCAATTTTGACACCAATGAGAAGTTCATTGTTTTGTTTTGCCTCATGCAGGAGCCGAGTGATATCCTTCCACTGCCAGGAAAGCACATCCTGGTAAGCAGCGGAGACACTTATTAGGAAACGCCCCAGGCTCTGAGTCTGGTTCCTAACAGAAGGAAAGGTCCAAACTGAAAGACATATCTGAATTTCGGGTTTCCTGCGCCTGTCATGAGAACAGCCTCTGGACTGGGAACAATTCCACTCAGCGTGCAGCAGATCACCAATATAATAATACACTGACGCCAACAAGACATTTTCAGACTCTGTGAGTGACGTCAAGTTAAAAACGTACATCTCTTGGCTTTCAGGGCTCCCTAGAAGAAGAAACACTTAGATAAGAACATGGGCATTTCACAGTGTTATAGAGAAAGGACCAAGCATGCTGCTTTCTAGGTTACACATTAAGTTCACAAGAAATTTTCACGCAGTGCTGTGGGAACAGGTTTAGGATGCTACTGAGAAAAACATGCAAGCTGGTAAACCAGTGACTGTAGATCACGCACTTTCAATCTGGTTTCCTCATAACAGCCTTCTCCATCCAGAAACACTCACACATTTCCTACCGCTCCTCTGACTTGAGACAAACTAGGTCATACTCACACATTTCCTACCGCTCCTCTGACTTCAAGAGACAAACTATGTCATGGGAACATAGCTTGATAACAGATGCACTAAAGACGACCTATCAACCCGAAATTTGAGCAATGCCATAGTAAGGTTCTGTGCTTTTGTTTTGCTCTTCCTGTAACATTTCCAACACCCTCCCTCTCAAAATGCACTTAGATGACTATGGCTGCCCTGTCCCGATTAAAGAATCATCTTTGTCGAGACAACTGGGACATCAATGGCACTGAACCATGCCTTAGCCCACACCTAGCTGAAGCTGAAGAAAGGCTCCCACTGGCTTCAGTAGGCGCTGAATTGTCCATAAACTTCCACTATCCTGTTGAGCCACAGCCTCAGCTGGAAAGAAAAGATTTGCTTCCCTCCTAGTAGAGGCTCAATGTGGCAGCGAAGAAGTGGTAAAGCCTGGATTCAAATCAGGCACGATTCTCAGTGTTGCCACAGGCTTTCAACTGTACTGCCAGGTAAGTCACTTAAGCTCCGACTGCCAAGCTGTTCAATGCAAAAAAAAGCCTAGCCAGTTCCTTTAAGCCTCCCCCTCTGCTCCACCGTGATCCAGGCCTTATCTACAAGACAGGGACTTTGGGTCCGGGTGGCGCTTACTCCTAGCTTCTAAAGATGTCAAAGACTATTAAAGAGGGACCCAACCCATGTAACATTTGGTACAGCTACCTATGTAAATCAAAATGCAAAACAGGTAAAAAATACGTAGCAAGTACTGCATATTTCAAATCTAGCAAAAAGACAAATTGAAATTCTGTGTTACAAAGGATGTTTCCTCTTAATATTAACCATTCCTCCATTACAACAAGACCAATTTATTGGCCCCTCAAGCTGTCAGTGACCTCCACGTGCGCAACTGACTCTTTGTGACCTACAGCCCTTCGCAACGGCAAGATTAGAGTTAGGCACAGAAGGGAGAGAAAGTTATTTGCAACAGCCTTGCACACAAAGAAGGAATTTGGCTTGCCTCTGAAGATTTGGAGAGAAGAAACAGCAGGATAGAATAGCCGTTAATTGTTTTTAAGGCTTGGATGTCAGCTCCAGAGGAACAGGCGATTCACCATTTATAACGAGCTAAAGACACACAAACCGGCCCAAGAGCCTTTTGGGTATACGTCAAATACTAATCACAACCAAAGTTTCCCTCTAGAATAATTGGGCCCAGGACCGCTTCAATCACACTGTGTAAATTTGGCCATTCCGCCTAGGACATTTCATCCATTTTCATGCCAGTCAGAGTTAGAAAGTATTTATTTGTACAGCTGAAGGTAGGTGGACAGTACAAGAGCAACACCAATAACCAGAAGAGAGCCAACCCAAAATGTCTTGGGTTGGGGGGGGCGGCAGCAAAACACATCCACTTGCCTCTGTGTGGATGGAAACAAGCCAAGGACAATCCTTCTTCATGGTCGGGATGTTACTGTTTTGATTAGGAAGAAGGCGGAGGACAGCGGGGTTTCTACAGCTGTGGAATTAGAGAAGTCAACCTAACCACAGGTATCTTGCACAAACCCAAAGATGCACTCCTAACACAGGCTGATCTGTGAAAACAGATGGCTGACTGCTTTAATCCCCTGTAGGGTGCAATAGGGTGCTTGGGGGTAAGGTTTTAATTTTTGTTTTAAAATTTTCTGCTTTGACTGCAGTTATGTCTGTCCTTCAGAGCAGAGAGAAATCTAGATACAAGGTTAAGGTGCTATTGAGATCTATAAAACCAGACTGTATGCAAAAGTCAAATATAATAAAGCAAAGGTATGGTCTGCAGCCCCCCACAGGGCTGGAAACAACCCAACACATTAGGAAAACAAGGGAATGTGGAGTTAAATGATTCTTTTGGTATCACAGCATGTCAAAACCCTCTCTAGAGGCTGAAGAGAAGTTACAGTCTACAGAATTTTGCAAGAGTTTTATGCCTTTTTTTTTTTTTAAATTTTTTTATTCCAAGCAACCTATGGAAGAACAACCTCCCTGATTCCACCCTAAAAACACTGTACTAAGTCCCCCGGCCACGCAAGTGAAAACATCATGTCCAGTACCATCTTTCAAAGACTTTGGCAGCTTTATGTTCCGGCTTCCAGCCTGTGACGTCCCAACTGCTAACGCCATTCAGGCAAGTCCAGCGAAAGATGGTATCCTCTCTCTGCCTCCCCATCCCCACCCTAACAACCTAAGTGGCCTCTTTTTCTAAACTTTTTTTTTCCATCGATATTCTAATTGATACATTAAAAAGGCAGGAACTGGTCTCACTAGAAAGATAGAACCCTTCTCCCCAACACATCACAGGCATCACTACTTCATGAAATTAGGGAAAAAACAACATACACTTTTCTCAGTGAAACAGGGGGAATAAAGGCCAAATCATTTATGGAAGACATTCAGCCCAATCTGACAGTGGATCACACAGGTATGTTCCCAATAGCTGAAAACTCACATACCAAACCTATCCGATTTCTAGCTATTACTTATGCCTGGGGAACTAGATTCTTTTTAATTTTGATCCTACTTTTAATTCCTCAAGCCAAAACTGACTATTTATTACATTTCTACTAAGCACACAAGAGGACCTGACCTCTGCTTGGTTTGTAATAGCTAATACAATAAGGTTAATATGTAATTTGCCAGAGCACTAAGTTCATTGGTCTTAGGAACCAGAATTTATGATGCTTCATGAGCGCCTGTTAAAAAAGTTATGATCTGAATCACTGCTTTATGTTGAATGACCAGTTCTGATTTTAATTTTTAATAAGAATTCCACTTAACAAATACTGTCTGTTCTAAATTAGCATATTGTAGCAGAACACAAAACGAGCTGCTTTTGTTTATAAAGAAACCCTAGATGGCATAAAACAGACACAGGAGGAATATATAGTTTCGATGAAAAGCAAAACTCAAAAAGCCACTCCTGGCATTCAGCTCTGAACCCGAGAGTAAGGACTTGCAGCAGGTGGTGCTGTTTTCTCACCAAATGACTTCCGAGCGCAAATGGCTCTGATAAGTTTTCGGATCTCTCCGTCTGCAAAATCATCTTGAGACCAGCTACTAATGGCCAGCACAGACGTCTATGGATTCGCTGGCTTACGGCTCAGAAAAACCCAACCCTGCAACCTGGATTTCTGTCACAACTGAGGAACGCTGCGTCAAATACATCCATCGTGTGACGGCGATATCCAACTCTCAGATGTAAGCAACGCACCGAAATAAGCATTCCCCAGGCTAGTCATTACCCTTAAAAATGACAGACATATTGAGGAAGACTCACCTTTAAAATAATTATGAATGCACCTTTTCCTCAGGAAAATTTCATTTCATTTCAATGAAACTTTGTCCTTAAACTGAGAGGACAGAAACTGATGAAATTCTGTCCCCAGAATAATGTAGTTTAAAATATTAGCCCAGGTCAGGAGCATAGTTTAAACTTTTCACCCATGTCAGGAGGTCTCAAGTAGCATCTAACCATATTTCATTGTGATGCGGGACACTTTCCACAAGCCTCACCCCCCTTGCTCGACTGACACCAGTGAAGTTTTACTGACTGATGTGAGCCAAGTCTTTAGTCTTTACAGTCTTACACTGATAACTCCTCTCATATAAACAGTTTGATTGACCCATTTACCCCTTTTGCCAGTCCCAAAGAACCCCAAACATAAACCCAAGCCAAATCTAAGCAGGGCCTTAATTCTAATACTTTGCCAACGCTCAGTAAATGGTATTTCCTAGGATGCTGCCGTCAATAGCTTCATGTGAAATGGAGGGGACGAGGGGGCCAAATTGCAGGATGAAGCCCATTGATGACTGCTCACCAGCCAGCAGAAAGAGGAAGACTGACCAGGCCGAGATATGGCCTCTGGCCAGTTTACACTCCATAACAAGACCTTTAAGGTCTCAAAGGCAACGAGATCTCCTTGCAACAAAGCCCTCTATCGGTCTAGAAGGATAAAGTCAGCTTTGCAGGCAGAAGAAAGAAAAACACCGGCCCAGAAATCTATGCCCTAGAAAATCATGACATCACAATAGCTTTTTTCTTAGGTTTTCAATACCAGACAAAAACGGTGAAAAGAGCAGCTTTGCAGCAGCCTTCTTTGTGCTAGCTCCCAGACAAGAAATGGTCTGTTGCAAACACAGACACGGATCTGATGCTGAAACATGACCCTTTGGAGGGATGCTGGACAGAATGTCCCCCTCTGCCCAGGCTGGATCTTAAGAGACGGCAGTGGTGGTAAGATCTTACCAACCCTGTGTGTCCCTGCACCGCAGGCGGCTGCCGGAGCAAACTCGCAGTCGGGTCCAGCACCACCTTACTGCCTTGGCAAGATTCTGTCCGTTATCTCTGAGCAGCTATACTTAGTAAACCTCACGCTCACTTGCAGCAGCAGCACACGATGCAATTCAGTAGCAACTCAGTATTATTTGAGCAGCAGTTAACTTCGCTAGCTCACTAGATACACTTTCCAACTCTGCGAGCAGCAGATTTCTACCCAAGCACCGCTACTTGAGCTAAGCCTTTTAGTTCTTTCTTACTTAAAGTAAGTTCCACTAACTCACTTGGCTTTGCTCTTTTGTAGTACAAAATAGGAAGTACAGGAGACTTCTCAGCAACAACGCTCAAGCACCTAAGGAGAAGAAGATTTAAGAGGAAACAAGCAAAGGAAAAATATGTGCAACTGAGCTACAGGCAAGGAAT